TCCATTTTATCTATGAGTCCACACTTTCCTCAACCTGGGTAGTCCGTGTGCTTTTATTACACATTATTCGACAAACATCGTTTCCGTAGAAAATGTATATTGCAGCATTGCGCGCTTCATTTCTGTGAACCTTTTTACTCATTCGAATTCTCACTAAATCTAGATTCGTCGAGTATTATTCCAAAAGGTTTGTATCTGAAACTGTGCTTTTGATGGGCAGTTTCGTGTGACATTGTGTTTTTTCCTTCCACAAACGCAAATTCTTACAATGTTTCATCTATGTTTCTTTATTCACATCTTGGATGTGTACGTTACAATTCTTGTGCTTTCAATTAATGGACCGACGCTGTCGTTCTGACGTGTATGACAACTCGCAGCGTCGAGGAATCAAGACTTTAGACTCTGGAATGAATCTCCTGAAATCGTCAAACTGTCGCATTAGGGTCTCGTTTGCTCGCAAACTCTATTTGCTTGTTTTTCCCACTGCAAATCACCTATTGACTTCAAAAGAATAATGCTGTTAAGTGTTCCAAAGTTTGTTTACAAAACAGTTATTCCATTCATCATCTTTTGTGTTACTAGATGCTTTAAATTGGTAATTCAAGTCATCTTTTCAATAATTCATCGATTCAGTCGGGGAAATATGCATTAAAGGATGGACCATCTTTCAACAAACGTTTCTTAACTTTTGTCCGTTCTCCATACCTTAGTTTTTCAAAGTGATAAATTCAACGTTCCTTTGTTAGGTTCGTGTTACCTAGGGATGATCGCCGATTGTTTCCAAATCGAAGAAACCACTCACCATAATGAATCTTGTTTGAACCACCTATGCTACGTGTACTCTAGTTTGCTCCGATTTCTTTTTTTTAAAATTTTGTGGTGTCCATTATGGATATATGTATCAATAGTGGCATTTCATTGGTGAGTTCTAATCATTTTGACTAATCTCTCTTGGGATTACACCACAGTAGTTGTACGTGTGCGTGCATTTATATGGTAGTCTGAAGAACGCCCGTGGTTGAGAGGAATCAATGATGCTTGGGCGGCTTAATGACGTCCCGGATGAATCATGTGGTTGTTGTGATGACTTCCCCCTTGTGATCCTTTCCCCACTGCCTAATGCTGCACTTCCGTGACTGTGTTCCTTCTCGCAGCTGTCCTCTGATCAGGAAATCTTGAGGGTTCCCCCTGTAAATGGTATTTTTCCCTTTCCCTCCACAGAAAACCACAGCTCCGAAACAAACTCCCAAAGTCGTTTGCGACACCCGTAACTGGATTCGCGCATTAGGCAATCGTGTTCATCTAGGAGTGATTTTTCGAACCACTGAATTCATATGCTGTGCATCTGATTACGTGTTCGTTCATGATGACCTACGTGTTGTGAATGGCTATTTATTCGTTTCTAGCAATTGTACATATGATCCACTTATAATTCAACGAATTATAAATGCTACGCATCTAACTGTTCAAATGGAATTTCCAAAGGCTTATTTATGCCACCACCTATCAATGGCAAAAGATCATGGCTTGCTTTCTAAACACATACTTGTCTTACTACCTCATATAAGGACCGGGAAGAGTGCCTGTCCAAGTTGCAGCGTCACGACTACCCCCAGATTGTCGGGTGTGGTGTTTTCGATGGTCACGGAGGACCTGAAGCAGCTGAGCACTGCTCAAACCTGGCACCTTTTCTCCTCAGTCGTTATTTGCAACAGCGCTTCCTCGAGACATCGGTTCTTCGTCGCTCCTCCGAAACTATCCCTGACATCCTTACAAGAGTCATTCACGAACTTAACTTCTCAGTTACCGAATGTCATCGGCAAAAGGTGAGTCCTACCTTTCCTCCCGTTGGTCCTTAAGGTTGTAGCATGGTCAGTGTCTATGCAGTATAGTTTATTTTGGAAAATAAATTTTGACGGTACTGCTTAATCTCCATGTTCTTTTAAGTGGTCAACTTCTAAAACTGGTTTGTTTGTTTTTCGATTTCATTATGCAAAAGCTATTTTTGCATTTCGATGACACTGAATGTTTCGAATCGATATTTGATCAGTGTTAAGGGTTGTACTCTTTCAGATGAATGCTAGACACGTGACAAACTTGACTGGCTCCTTATCGCATTGAAACTTGCAGTTATCCTTTGAAGCCTCCCAACTTCCCGTCACTTATTACTTTCATCTCTTATTACTTTTTCATAGTGATGATTCACTATTGTTTTCATACGACTTATATCTTTCAGAAGAGTCATATAAACGGTGGCTGCTATATTCGTTTCTATCATTACCATTCTTTACAGAAAAGGGGTAGATTGTGTCAAACGCATTCAGCCATCGGTGCGGTGTTTGCGCTTCTAAAAGGCTTAATGAGGCGCAGAACTGTCCACGAAAACTATATTTAGGTAGCTTAATCATAGTTGAGCTCCTATTTTTAGTTGCAGTAGTAAAAAAGCAGCACTCTAGAATCTCAGTCTCTGTGTGACACGCCAAAAACGCAGAATAGCCTTCTCGCGTTTCCCCACGTTTGGCTCTGTGGTGAAACGTTTGCATTTCATCAGCTGGCAATCCGTGCCTTCTAACTCTGATCACGTCTCCCTCAATCATGCTTCTTTGCCTCTGCATTGTTCGTTGTGTGTGTGTGTGCGAATTTCCGAGCGTTAGCGTTCGAAGCAGATTTAAACGTGCAGCTGTTAAGCGCTTTCTGTCCCCTAATTTTTGTGGTCATACTGATCCCTTTTTTCATGGACCAGTCGATGTTTACCGTACTTTCGTGCTTTTTCCCATACTCTTTCTAGCTTTCGCGTAGGAGATAAATCTAAATGTTTAGTTAAATGTTCACTAAAGAGACTTACCCATAATGGGTGGATGGAGGTTCATGTGTGTAGTCATAGAATTAGATTGTGAAACTTTGAAGTCCTTTAAATGCCATCGTAGACTTGGTCAACACTGATTCCTGCACCAGAAACAGTTGGGTTCGCTTTTATTCGTGGGAGTATCTGGTTATGCCTATCCAAAGTCACTGTTTTAAACGCTCATGTGCTCTTTTCACTCTATAGTCCATTTGAAACGATTCACTTTACCCATAACATGAGGCTCGACCATGCCCACCCACTTTCAAATCTAGCAAATACTCTACTCTTGCGTACACTGAGAGCTGGAGTCAGTAATCAGCAAGCATTCCTTATAACAGCTTAGAGCTCTTGTGATTCGGCTGGACTGTTAAGCTCTTCGTAAGTTATTTGAATGGATG